ACCGTGTTACTATAGATATTAATTTGATATTAATTAAAAATTTCTTTTTAAAAGATAAATACTTGTATAACAAATTAAATGTATATTATTATTACGTTATATTATGATTGAAGAAAAACAATATTTCGTTTAATTATATAGAACAGTATATACATATTATTAGGAGATCTTAATGGTTATAAACATGTTTATAGAAATACTTCATTATAGGTCTTCGTAGCTCAGGTGGTAGAGCGTTCGTTCGGAAAGCGAAAGGTCCTGGGTTCGAATCCCGGTCGAGGAAACAAAATGCCCCCTGCGTTGTTTAACAACTACTTAATAAAATTTACCTCCGTAATGAGATTATCCTTTTCCGTCCTCTTTCGACTGCTACTTTATAAGAGTTTTTATTATTATACCTCTCTCTCCGAATTTTAATATTATCTTTCTCTGTCCTCTTTCTATTTCTTTATTATAAAAGAGCTTATTATTATATTTTCTCTTTTTCTGAGATACTACACCATTGTTCCTACGAGGTCTGTTCTCTCCTCCCTCGTCATTCATTTCTTCACTTTCTAGTCATTATTCTATTTATAGTATTATAATTATATTAATTCGTATTTTAATAAATTTTCGATTTAATTAATTAAATATTATAATTAGTATTTCAGTAGAGTTTTATTTGCTTTAAGAAATAATAAAATTTATTTGTAAATGGGTTGTTCCTTTTAAAGGGGGAGAGGAAGTTCTATTCCTAAATAAATTCCATCCATATTGTAATGTATGATATTTATTATCCCCCTTTGTGCCATGTCTTGCCTAGTCTTGTCTAGTCTTGCCTAGTCTTGCCTTGTCTTGCCTTTTCCCCATTTACTTTACAGTCACAAGAGAAAATCTATATGAAACATATTTCCCTGTGACTCTAATAAAAGATTCTAACTACAGACACTGTTTTTAGAGAGCGAAGAAAAGTCATAGCAACAAAACGCGGTTGGATCAGAGTTTAGTTTTCTTGGACAAGGCTCTCCTTCATTATTTCTATATTCCTGCTGCTGAATGTTGAGTGTTGATTGAGCTGGTAATAATCTGATAAAAGGAGGGACCGATTATTGTATTATAATTGTAGGCTTTGGAATGAAATTGTATGCGGAGTGAGGGCTGGGTGTGTGAGTACATTGGAGTGAATTCTATTTTCATCGTTGAGTGGCAGCAGGGTTGGAAATAGTGTTAATAACAGTGTCTCTCCGTAGAGAAAGTATTTACTTGGGCTGAAAGTTTCCTAGATAGCTCAGGTGGATAGAGCAGTCGCCCGAAAATCTTTACGAAAATCAAGCGAAGATCTAATTTTTTTCTTTTTTCTATCCATTTTTTTACTTCTATGACAATATTTCTCATGAAACAATATTTTTATTTTTCTATTTCTTGCATTATTCTTCTTTTCGAATGAGGAGGAGGATTATATTTCTTTTTACGTTAAATAATATAGGGGATGAATAATCACGATCAAAACGCATGGACACAACGCAACGATAGTGTACGGCAACAGTCAGCGACAAGATTAATACATTAATGTATCAATATCTCCTCGTTTCGAAAACGGACATTTTTTCGTTACATAGTATTTCATTACGTATTTAGAAAACATTATATACACTTTATTTTTTTAATGCAATATTTTGTAATTCATTCTTATATATTTACAATTTACATTTTATTTATAATCACAGCAATAGTAAGAAGTACGAAAAATTAAATTAAAGGGAAATTAATCTTTATATAGATAACCTTCCGAACAGTAATCGAACTCGGCACAAAATGATACTTTCTATCAAATCTACATTTTACAACTTTCATATTTTTAAATATCATAGATTCAGACATACAATAAAAATATATGAATAATATAATGATAAATAATAAAAATAAAATATAATATTTAAATAATAATAATAATGATGATGATGATGATGATGATGATGATGAGATAGAGAATGGAATGTAACAGGGGATAGAAGCAAAAAAAAACGTCAGAGTGTCAAAAATCTGAACCAATCTAATTCAAGTACGATTAATTAAAGTACTATTACCGAGTTTAGTATATCCTGCGGACATTATTAGTTCGTTAGGATGTCATTCCTGCTTTGTAGTGCGAGTACTACGTTTCAATCTACGTTTCAGTTAAGGTAACTTATGGTAAATGATTGCAATGGTGTATTTAGACGATATCATTGTCTCGTCAAAAAAAATAGGATAATTCATTTTATACGACGTTTACTTTGTTAAACTATTTACCACATTGTTGATAATACATTGATCTTGTGATAAGTGCATATCCTAATTGTCATCATCTAAACTACTAGTTGTTGCTATGTAAGTTAACAAAAATCGATATATTCTACCTAATTGTTTGTTTATCTTCGGAGTAGCAGCGATATTTACAAAACTAATGCTTCAATCTTTACACTCTCTTTGTCATTAATAATATCACTAACTTTTCTAAAGGATGTAGCAATCCTAGCTGTTTACTCGACGGAGTTTTATAATACTAACACTTGTACATCAATATCAAATATTTTATATTAGTAAATAGTATGTTTCTATTATTGCCGCTAAAGTCTTATTGATTTCAACGTGACGTAAGTTCTTTTCTTATAACTGACAATAATTATTTTAGTATTGTTAAATAATATTATATAATATTTTCGGCTACTATTTAGTAACATGAATCGTCAGGAACAAAACTTCTAATTTTTTTTCGTTACACCATATACTTCAAATTTTATAAATTATAAATATTTTTTTGATTGCATTTTCTAATTTGGTTCGAACGATCAAAATTGATTTTTCACTCCTACAATCCAATCGTTATTAATATATCATACTGTACTAACATTTTTACTAAAACCAAATCTGGAAAAAATGTGTTTAATTATCAATTTTTTTTTTTTTTTTTATTTAAATTAAATCGATTTATTATTATTCTTTTTAAATGCAAATATATATATCAGGGGGAAATTTTTACTTTATTGAAAGTAATTATTATGGAAATATAAATTTTTTTATTTTCAATAAATGTCCAATATAAATACGTAGAATGAAATATGTAACGAAACATACTTTGATTAGGTGAAACTTTTGGATAATTTGGAAAATTTCTAAATAAAGAAAGATATACAATTGTTTTGCAGATATACAATTTGTTAATAATTTAGTAAATTACGATAGATCAAGAAAGAAAAATTTTTGAGATTTAATAAGTCATATAGAATACTGGAAATTAAAGAGTAACTTCACATTATGAATATTTTTATGATACAGTAAATATTTATTCTATTTATGGCATAAATTTAATACATTTTTTTTTTAATATTTGAGAGATTAAGAAAAAGTCATATATGTTATCTAAAAGTAAATACGTGATTATAGAGAAGCGTCGTGTTGTGAAGGGCAAAGAGAGGAAAATTGGGAGGCTAACAATTTCTACAATACTTTGACTTTCTCGATTTCTCCTTGAAACATCACTGAAAAACACTAAACAAGCGATTTTGAATATGTTGGTTTAATTTTACGCTTCTATACTCGTTTCTTATACCTTCGCTATATTCATAACCCAAATAAAACGATGACGATAATGGAAGATAAAGCAAACTTTTGAAATCATCGGTTCAACAAAGTATTTTTTTAAAATTTAGAAAACATAATAGATAAATTCGAGCACTATTTACTCTTTATACGCGTTTTACCGAGGTAATGGAGTAACGATATGATTTCTCTTTTTTTATTTTCTTGACAATGTTTTAATTTAACGAGACTTGTAAAAAATTTAAGCCGACTTACTTATATTATACGTGATAGAAAAAATTGCCTCTTCACGTTTTCTGTCACATACTTTTTTTAGACACTTTATAGAGAAGAAAATTTCTATATACATTTTGTTATGCTTTTAATAATAAAATTGTATATATATATATATATATATTACACATATTTCATTAAAATATATTACTATAATACTTATAATACTTGTCAATATGCTTTTTCTTTAGTTATTATTTTCGTCAAATTAAGTGAGATAAAATTACACGAAATAAAATTACGTGATAAGATTACGTAAGATAATATGCCACCTTTTGAAAATAGGCTCTTACTGATTCTACGACTTTTAAAATTTTCTTTTAGTTATACGTATGACAATAAAATTACGTGCATCACTACGAAGGCTACGAGTAGCGACAGATACAACTAATATACTGTGTACCCTTTAGTATTGAAGTTATTCGTGACTAGATAGTCAAAGCAAGTACATTAGATTTTTATTTATCATTATATATGTGATTATATTTTACATATAAATTCTTTTCTAATAAAAGTTTTACAAATTATCAGAATTGAGATATCAAGCAAGAGGATATATGCATGATTGGAACGTATAAATATTTTACAAAGTTCACTAGATATCGATATATATATATATATATATATATATATATATATATATATATATATATATATTGATTCTAAGAACATTCTCAGAACGATATGATCATTATAGTTAGAAGCCGATAGTTAGAATAATAATTGAGTTGGTAAGTTATTGGTAGTTCAATAGATATAAAAGGAGCATCGTTTTTTGAAAGATGTCAATTAAATATTTATAAATATGAGAAAAAAAGAAGATGTTAAAGGAATATTCAAGAAACTTTTGAACAAATCGAAGAGAAAGAAAAGTAAACAAACTTGATCTAAAAACGAACGACAATAAAAGACATGAAAAACATTAGAGGACAAAATAATAGACAACGAAACATTGTTGATGTGAAAAGCAGCGACAAAGATAAATATAATCGATAACGATCGAGACATCAATACTGAAATCGAGAAAAATATGGCCGGAATTGTGTGAAGGTGAGTCAAAAGTAATAAATATAAAAAGCGAATTTGACCTGAAAAAAAAAGTTTCTTTGTATATATATATTTCATCCATATTCTTTACAATTTATTAGTAGTAGGCATTAAGTAAATTATTGTATCATATATAGTAAAAAGTAACACCTGGACGGTGTCTCTATCAAGACAATATTTCTATTGATATAATCAATTGATCTAATATATTAGTATTGTTTTTTAATTATCAATATCGATTTTTATCAAATCTCTAAGATGTATTTTTTGGAGCCTTTGAAAATTGTATTCACTATAAATATTGCTAGCAGATTAATATATGATTCCATTCTTCTTTCGTAATCGCTTTATCTTTTTTTATCACTTCTTGTTTATCTTTTCTTGTAACGTAGGAATATTTAAATCTTTTCTTATTTCTTCATTACATTATCCACCATGAAACGTTCACGACTGTGCATAGTATAATAGATTGTTGTACTTTAAATTTAACTGTGTATCCCATAGTGGTGTTGTATTTATTCAGATGATTTTAATTATTGTTTTATAGATTTGTAGTTTACTTTCTGTGTTGAATTTGAATTTTTGACCGGTTAGCCATGTTATTTGTCTCCTTTTTCATCGAATTTCTTCGATTTTGATAGTGTTATACTGTTTCCATATTACCTTAGGAATCCAAATGAAACCTCATATAATTAATCATTTTGATTAAGCGAAATTTTTGTATTGTTTCTTTTGAGTTTCGACTAATTTGTTTTTGATTTGGTTGTTTTTTTTAAAGTAAACAAGACGTGTTTGCACTTTGTATTTACATTGATTTTCATCCTTATTGCATAATCATTCTTCAGGAGAGTTAATTTGTTCTAATAATATATTACTTGTTTAAAACAAATGTGTCTTAATGCTTTTGAATACAAGGAATATAAGGCAAGATAAAGGAATATTTCTCGGACATACCAAGGAGAAAGAAATGTAAACAAATTAAATCTATAAACGAGCAACTGAAGTCAATAACATTAAAGGACAACGATGGTTAATAGAAAAACTGAACAGAAGAATATTGTAATGGTGAGTCGATCAAATAAGTTTTTAAAAAGAAAATGTGAGTACACACAGAATTCCTAAATACATTATTTAGTAATATATAAATATATAAATATATAAATATATAATTTAGTAATAACGGATGACAAGTGCATGGCGATCTTACTTGTATTAAATATTAACAGTGGAGGTCTCGTAATCAAAGAAAAGACATTTATTACACAGAAGGACCGACAAGATATCATTTTATTGAAAGATATTAACATTGAATTTTCTGAAGAATAAAACAATAAAATCGTAAGTATTTTGAATCGTCTATATTTTTTATATAGATCTTTTTAACAAGTAGGTTATACCGATATTTCCAAGAAGAATGGCAATTACTGATGGATACAACATCGTTACATTATCCACTATATTAAGTATTCCAACAAGAACAACAGTAAATAATAAAGCAATGGATGGAAACCAACATCATTCAAGAGAATGATACTCAATTTTTTAATCCGGTAATGTTGGATCAAAAAACAAAACAGGCTATAAACGAACATGCAAAGACTATTCAGTATAAATCTTAAAATAGTTGAATAACAATATTCTACAGTGATAGTAAAGAATTAATTGAACGGACTATGAGATATAAACTATAATACTACAGCTAATTTAAGTAGCGGATACTATCAAGTAATGATTAAAAACTTTTATTATATTATCGCGTTTAGCACATCCAACCAACATAATCAATTTACTAGAATACTATTCGTATTTTCTAATGTAATGGTTTGTTCGGAAAGTAATTTCGTTTTATTTGTGAAAATGAAAGACAATTTTCGTATAAAGAACAAATATTTTATTAAATTATATATTGGGTATTCTGGTCCAATACCTTTTGCCATCTTTCTGGTAGTAGCATGATTCCACGCTCATAAAATTTTTGATCTTTGCTGGCAAAAAACTGATCGAGGTGGTTTTTGGCCTCCTCATTTGAAGTGAAGGTTTAACCGTCCAAAAAATTTTACAGTGACCGGAACAAATAATAATCCGAAGATGCCAGATCTGGAGAATATGGTGGGTGTGGCATTGTATCCCATTCAAGCTGTAAAAGCTTTTGGCGAGTGACCAATCTCGTATGAAATCTCGCATTATCTTGGAGGAACTACACCTTTTCTGTTGATTAAGTCTGGCCTTTTCTGTTGAAGTGCATCATTCAGTTTGTCCAGCTGATGACAGTAGACTTCCGAATTAATCGTCGTGTTATTCGGTAAAGTCTCAAAAAAAAACGATTCCTTTAAAATCAAACCAAACAGACAGTATCACCTTTTTTTGATGGATATTGGCTTTGGAAATGCTTTGAGCCGGTTCATCTTTTTTACTCCATGATCTCTTGCGATTGACATTGTTATATACAACTCACTTCTCGTCCCCAATAATGATGCGCTTCAAAAATGGATCATTTTCGTGACGTTTGAGATGCGAATCAGACGTCAACGCGATGACACAAATTTCTCTCCGTGAGGACATGGGAAACCCTTGAATGCTTCGAGGTTAAACCCAGGCCTTTCAAGTGGTCATAAAGAGTTAAATTTAATAAATTTAACCTTTTACCGATCTCACGTGCTGTTATTCGCCGGTTTGCATCAACTAATGCCTTTGTCGTGTCTTTATTTGCTTTAATCGGCCTTCCAGAACGTGGTGCATCTTTGACATCAAAATTTCCGGATCGAAGTTTTGCAAACCAGTTTTGACACTGGCGTACTGTCAACACATCTTCTCTATACACATCGGTTAATTTCTTTCTCGCTTGAACAGCATTTTAACCTTTTCTATAGTGAAAAATTAAAATATGACAAAAATGCTGCTTAGTGCTCACCACATTTAAAAGGGCACCAACCAAAAGCTACTGCGTAGAATCAATTGGACTTTTCATACACAAGCTTTGCTATATTAGTTCTCAAAACATATAATGATTATGCGGTTTAAGTGTGAAGTTGGGTGCAAAAAAATACAATTAAATCCTCTATCGGGAAAAAAACGAAATTACTTTCCGAACAGCCCAATACCTACCATATTCCAACGATTGTCACTGTATTTTTATATGCGGTATGATACTGCAGTAATATCAGCATATTCTGACAATATCATTATTCCATCAAAAACTATCGAAATAGATAATTCTATATAACTTTTGCTTTATTACTATATTTTCTATATTATTAATAGGATATTGAGTTGCTTATTTAAAATCATAATTGCCAAAAGATGAATTAGTTTTGATTAAGATCGACATTAATGACTTGCCATCGGTGAAAATGACAAATTATCAAAATATAAAGTTGTGAAAGTAGAAAACGATAAATATGATACGGTATATTGAAGGAGAACAACAGAATAACAAATTTTTTAAAGTTATTGTTGTTGTAGATATACAGATTGAAACCTATAATATTTAATGAATTATATATTTTTTAAGGTCTATGAAGTTTCGTACTCCATGATAAACATTCTGTTATATCTGGATTTATCAAGTAGTCGCAAAATTTTTGCTTGTTTTCACGCTAGATCCCGATACTTTCGAAAGTTTATAATCCATTTGCTTTTCAACGTTATCTTGCATCAAGAACATGTGTTTCAAATAACAAATGAAATGGTGAGGTGCATATATTTCTATATCATATACAATTTAGATATAGTTGAAATATATTCAGAAATTTAAATCATTCATCTCTGAATTCAGAATATTTCTGTAAAAGAATATTTTTCCAAAAGATATGAAAGACTTGCTAACGGTAAGTTGCAACTATCATTTTGCAGAACTCATCGGTCCAGGAACGTCTTTAACATAAGCCACATTTGATGTAAACTAAGACCTTACTATTTACGGGGTTACATTTTAAAATCTTATTTTTAACCTTACTCTTTACAAACAATAATATAAAAAACATCTTAGTATATTTCCTAAAACTAAGATCAAAAAAAATATACAGTCATTAATTTCTTTTCAATTTATATTTGAATTGATTTGTTTTTATACTTTTTAAAAATAATAAATACATAAATATATGTATATCTACGTTACATTCTTTTTATTTTATTAAAATGAGTTATTATAGAATATAGAATATATTGATTTATATTTTTAATAAATCAGAAAAAAAAATCTTTTCATAAATGAAATCAAGATATATAGTATATCTAATAAGATAATACATGTAATGAAATAAATTTTGATTACAGAAAACTTTTTGGAAATTTGAAATTAAACAAATTTGCGTTTAAATAGTGACATAAAGAAAAAAGGAATTTTTACGTTTTCAAAATATCACGTAGAATATTACAAACTAAAGTCTAATTTGAGATTATGAATGAAATATTACTTTTGATTATAGCATAAATTCAATATATCTTTTTCAAAACATAAACATTTACGGAAAAGAGTCATGCGATTCATGTCTATCCGTCTATGCATTTTGATGCTCCTCAGATATATATATATATATTACACATAGTTTACCTAAACAGATTTCTATAATATTTATAAGATCGAAATTTTACATATTTGTTTTATTTAATTATTATTTCAGAAAAATTGTTTGATATAAAATATAATGATACATATAATAAAATAATAACATTTGAAATTGTATTCGTTGCTTATGAGGATGTTAGAAAGAAAAAAAAAGCAAATATAACAAGGTGAAGAGTAAACGTAAATTTATTAAAAGATAGATTCTATTTACAAATGTACGTACATGTAGATTAGAAAAATTCTGTTTTAACATAATGCACTTTATAAAAGATCACTCTCTAACTGCACCTTTATGACTTCTTCATAAAATCTTCAGAAACACATGGGTTCTTTCATAACTTTTCGTAAATCGCATGCGACTCAACTGTATATCGTGTATCTATATTAATATAATACTGATTACTATAATACTGATACAAAATTTATTGTTAAAAGATAAACATATATACTAAATTGAATATATTACTACATTAAGTTACGATTACAGAGAAATAATTTTTCTTTAAATGACATAAAATTAATACAAATATCAGGAATTTATTTCGTATATAAACGTGTACAGATATAGGTTTAAATGGCTTCGTAGTTCAGGTGATAGAGCGTTCGTTTCGTTTCGGTTTCGCGGAAAACGAAAAGTTCTTGGGGTTTTCAGTCTCGATCGAGGTACCATGGCTTAAAAATTTTCTTACAAAACATTCATTTCTTGGTGAAATGGAAATTTTCTTTCTATTGTCTATCATCCCCTTTCTCTTATACCTCACCGGTCATCTTGTCATATAGTTTACTTACAGTTCACATAAAAGGGATATAATATATTATATAGTTTATTATTTGTGGATTAACTAATATAAAATACAATGGTTCTGCCACCAATGCACTACTATCTGCAGTTATGATAACATACAAAACTGTGTAAAACCGTCAACGTATGGAAAATACCAATCTTTTCATGGTTTTTATCCTAATAACCACTCAACTGAAGCAATTAATAACAAAAATTAGATATAAACTAGCATTAAAATCTTCTGTGAAAAATACCAAAACAAGAGAAAAATGACACAATCCAAAATGTACCAAATTTGCGGCTATACCATTGCAAATTGTTACACTAGTCCAATCTGCCTTAAATGTGCATGACAGCACTTTACTAATGACTGTGTAAAAAACAAAGAGGAATCTCCTAAAATCATGAATTGTATGGATACAAAACGGGTTAAATAATTAGACCAACACTAATATATGCTGCTCTGGTATAGTTTAGCACGTCCAAAACAACTCTCAAAGTACTAAAAATTATCGAAAATACATATACTATCAAATATATAGCATATATAGATGAATATGGAAAACAACTACTTGTTAGTTTCAATAAGAATTAACTTAAACACAATAATCTAACAGTAAATATAATTGAAATCAGAAGAAATAATGCAGCATTCCCAATTAACCATAAATTTCCTTATCAAATCTTCTGAAGGTTTTTTGAAAGGAACTCATAAACATGTAAAAATTAAATGAACAATTAAATTTAATGCCCATAATGGATCTCGAGGAACCGAAACTTCAGGAATTCTTACAAATGTATATCTCATAAATAGATAAATATTATATTTCATAAAATATATAACAAGTTATTGTCTTATAAGAAGGAACAGCTCCTAAATTAAACTTGAATATAAGATAAATACGAACTAATTATTATTACGAAATATTACAAGTACATAGTAAATATACATATATATTTTTATACTTCATTTATCCTTTTCGTATATTATATATTTGTTCTATTGTTGTTATTATCAAGTCTATATTTTTACAAAATAAAAATGTTTTCTCCAGGATCCACCAGCCCGAATTTGACAGCCGGCCGCAGATAAAAATTTATTATATAATACAAAAGTACAATACGTATTACATAAGTACAAAAATATCTTCTTTAACAATAGTTATTCGTCATGCTTGATGGGGGAATGTGCTAATATAATAATAAGAATAATGATGCAAATGCTTAAATTCACCGTAATAAATCCCGTCATGAGAAAACAAGATGTAAGTGCTTATTGATTGTACTTGTTTTATGATTGTCTTATAGCTACATCTATTTAACAATCAAGTTACGCTGGTCACTACTAGTTTCGCTAGTAGCGACACGTAGAACTAATATATAGTGCGTAAATCAGAGTCAGAGTCAGTCGTGATGCGACAGCCGGATGAAGCAGTTTTGTATTAGCCCTTATACTTTTCATTATATTTTATATATTAATTCTTTCTTAATAAAAGTCTAACAAATTTTTTAAATTGCGATGTCAAAACAAGAAGTTACACTCGTGTTTAGAAGATCTAATAATTTTATGGCAATACAGTTCGGTATATAATATATATAAATGACATAAACGCGGTTAGAACAATGTAATTACTACTTGAGTTGTTAGAATATTGGAAAGTGAATTGTGTGGTATATTGATAGTCCGTTAATCATAAAAAGAGCGTCGATATTTGAAAAATACTGGTTAAACATTTATGAATATGAGGAGTAAAGAAGATGATGAAGCAACATTCAAGGAACTTTGACACACCAAGGAGAGAGGAAAATAAACAAATTAGATCTACGTACGAATAGCAATAGACATAATTAATATTAAACTACAAAGACAATCGATATGAAATCAACGTAAGATGTGTAGGGACAAAAACTGAAAGAGAGTACACAAGTATGGCCGGAATTGAAAGAAGGTGAGCAAAAAGTAATAAGTACATACAATATGTATCTCGCATATTATTAAAAATTTATCAGTAATAGAAATTAGATAAACTCTTGTATTGGTGAAAGTAGATGGTCTCTTCATTGGAACAACGTCTCTATTGGTAAGATAAATCGATATATTCGCGATGTATAATTTTATACCAAGTCTCCGAGCTGTATTCTTCTGTGGTTATATCTTCCCAGGGTATATTGTCTATAAATATACTTTTATAACTACTGATTGCTTAAATTGTCTTAATCACATCTTGTGATATAATAGGAACTTAGAACCTTTCTTATTTCTTCATTATTTCATCTACCACACAACGTTCAATATAGTGCCTATTATAATAGATTGTTGTGCTTCCAGTGTATTCATTTCTAATATTCCATATATCCATATGATGTTGATTCTTGTTTTATAGATTCGTAATTTGTTTTCTGTGCTAAGTTTCGTTTTTAGACCGATTAGCCATATCATTCGTGTTCAATTAATTATATTTGACATATTTTAATACTGTTTCCACATTAATTTTGTATCCAGATGAAAATTATTAAATGCAAATTATTTAACCTTTTCTGTTTGCAAATTTTTTGTATTGTTTAATTTGAATTTTTGCATTTGATGTTTCCTCGAAAAGAATGTGATATGTTTGTACTTGATTGTTTTTATCTTGATTTTCTTTTATTTTTGCATATCCATTTTTCAGTAGAATGGGTTTGTTTCTATAATATATTAGTTGCTTAAAAGAAATATATCTTAATATTACGTAGCTTCTGAATATGGAGAGTAAAAGAATATTCCGCGGATACATTGAGCAGAAAGAAATGTAAACAAATTAAATCTATAAAAAAGTAACTGAACTCAATAACATTAAAGGACAACGATGTTCAATAGAAACGCAGTGTTAGTAAAAAAAGTAATGACAAAGATAAAGATACGACCAATAACAACGGAGAGAATAATACTGTGAGTAAAAAAATATGTATGGAGTCAAGCTAAGGTGAGCAAACGACAATAAGCATGATTGACACAAATATTTCTTTTTAATCGCAGGAAAACGCAGTTGAGGCACAAAATTTTTAAGAAATAAAAAAATATTGTGCGAATTCAATTGGATTAAAGTAGATCTCGATCTGAAGCGATTAATTGAAAATTAGGACGAATATACGATTTCTGTATGAGAGGCCTGATCCTCAGCACTGAATCCTTATGATACAGCACTGAATCCTTATGAATTTGTCGAATATGGAAAAGTGACAATACAGTGATGCTATAATATCCTCCTGAGTCCAAGATTATTTGCGTAAAGGCACACAAGAAAAATAAGATATGTATAAGAGTATTATTATAAGTTACATGCTCGCAAAAAAGCAGGCAAGGAAACGAATGAATAGATTGTAAATAGTGACAAAAAACATACAATTCCAAAACTATTTTTAACCTCTAACAAGTTACTATGCGAGTACAATGATTTCATAATAAAAAGCGTAACATCCATAAAATAGGACTGATATATCAAGAACGTGTTTAAAATATAAAGGTCATATAGTTAGTAAGTCCACAAAACCGAAGAGTAATGTACGTTTTTAATATAATCAAATATGTCATTATGTGAATGTTTGTATAGAGGGAATAGACGTATCTAGAAGAAAATTTCGAAAAGTTAATAAGATTCGAATACGGCAAATAAGATATTAATAAGAAAATCTGAGTACAAACCAAATAATAACAATCAATCTCTAGATATTTACTAACAACTGATGATAAAAGCATGATGATCATACCTTTATTAAATATTAACAGCGAAGATTTCATGATCCACGAAGAGACAGTCATTAATCGGGGATGACCAATAATACTTAATGAGAAATGAAAAGTTAACAAAGAACTCATTACATTGAGAGATAGATTCGATATCCACATTACATTATGAAGTATTTTACATCAGGAATGATAACAAGAGCAGGAAAAAATACGACAACTGATGGAAGCTGACATAACCGAACAGAATGATTCTCCATTTTTCAATCCTATGATGGTCAATAAAAAGATGGGCGACATATAAGTGTCTATAAACTACTAGACGGTAACTCGTAAAATTGTTAAACAACTCTTGGGAAGAAGTAGAAAATCAATTGGACAGACTGTGAGATATCAAGTATTATACTATACTTTATTTAAATATCTAATGATTATCATGTGTCGACATCAGAAGCTATATTGGTAACTATTAGAAACCGATGGTTAAAAAATCCTAGTATATTACTGTTTTAAGCATATTCGGCAGATTTTATCAGATCATTAGAATGTCATATGCTTTGTAATGAGACCACCGTGTTTAATCGACTAAAAAGTAACACCTATACGGTGTCTCCTTTGAGACATCTCTATTACTACGTCTCTATACTGATTCTTCAATTTGAACAGGGAACCTTAGCGGAATGTTCCAGTTCAGTTTTTATTTTAAGGTTTCTATGAATTATCTGCGTTTTCGTTACACAGGGTTGGTGATCTTTTATGAAGGATAGATTTGTTACAGTATGTGATTATTATAAATAAGCGGTCAGAGCTAAGTTCTAAGCACGAATTAGTTTTATAGTGTGATCGATTTAAATCTTTTAAAAATCTTGTAGAAATCTTCCTAATTAAGAGTTTTATTACAAACTAATGACCATTAGATAGGTTCACCTAACGGAAGGATGATCAGATTAATTTTGTATAAATATTCATTCCGTATATTAACTCGTGAAGGTATTATATCCGATTCCCAGTTCGAACGCTTTAAGTTATGATGGTTTGCTGCAATGAATTTCGTATCTATTGACAGAAAGAGATTACTCCACTGATCTCTTGTGATTCTTAGCTTTAAAATGAATTATTATGTGTTTTCGCAGTAATTGTAATAGTTTTAAAGTAATCACATGATTACTATGATTTATTGTCCACATGGTATTTAATTTCATTCTTGTGTAAGTCATCATTTGCTTTATTTGTCGGATGTTTCGGAAACTAACACAATATTGATTTTATGCTTATATATCAATGCTTTTGTATCTTGAATCCTGTATTGTAAATTATTGGTATTCCAAATTGCTAATTTTAGTTTTGCATTTATTATTTATTCATTAGTAGCGTATTTGTTAGAAGTTGAGAAATTATGAGTATTTGTTGCATTTATTGCTTTATAATGGAATTTTATTTCATTATCATTATAGTTATGATTTCAATATTTTTAATTATTTGTTTTAATAATTCTCTGATGTACAATATCTTCTTTGTGATCTTCTAAAATTGTTTGTACTTGTTTAGTACAAACGTTTCCTTTTGTGATCTTCTGAAATTGTTTGTACTTGTTTAGTACAAACGCTTCGTTGATTTGTTGTTGAAACGATTGTGGATATGTTATTTCTGTTGACACTTGCAATTTAATACATAAAAAGCACCGTTTTTTAATACTTTTTTCTCAGCCTTGGAAATTATTTCAACAGTTTTCCAGTTTGATAAATTATATATCTCTTAGTCTATAAAAAGTTTTACTCTCTTCCATAAATAATCAGTTTAACATCGTTCTGTCAAATATCTCTATTTGTTCGAACGTTGCTATTGTTCGAGAAAAACTCACTTCCTTGTCATTAGAGTTCACAGCATAAATATTACACAAATATTTCCTCTTTTGAATTATCTATTCCCTTTCATGTACGTCCTAATCTAATTCGAATTTATTTATGACACCGTAATTCATGTAAGAATTTTTTATTTTTATCAATACTGCTTCGTTATTCTTTTGCGATTATTTTTAATTTTGGTTTTGTAATACAATTATCTTCTTGAATTTTTAATTCTAGTATTATACTCTTAGTATTATACTTGAACAAATATACTGTGATAACTTTCATTCGCGCTATATTTGTTAACACGCCTCCATATCACGATCTTTACGGGATCCTCTAAGAGAATCCGCGTTCTTTTATTAATTTTCGGAGTTTCTGTGAGCGGTTTTTTACAGCAGCCTTAAACAGTATCTTGTGTCGCCAACCTTATCCATCGCGACCAGTGAGACTTTAACTCTGACGACAAAGAAGTTCATCGGTAATTCAAATGGCAGAGCATTAATTCGAAATTCTGTGTAAGAATGAAGACTTAATATTCTTTTCTTTCCCTTTTTATATTTCTGTGATATTTCTCTGTCAATATATTCAGATTTAAAGTTTGTACGAGTTTAATAAAATATGTGCTTGTACATTTCGATATCATCTTGAAATCGGCAGGTATTATAATTTCCTTACCATGTATCACAATTTACTGGATTGGTACTTCTTGCGATTGTAATTAGTAAATGACTGTAGGTAAATAGAGATAGAATGTAAGCGTAGGAAAATATAAAATTTTTACACAATATGTGAGAGTAAAGAAATTATAAGATTGAAAAGTGATGTTTAAACTTTGATAGACAATTATAAAATCTTCTAAGAGAATCCAATTTCGTAACTCGATGTTTTGGGAAAATTAAAAGCGAAAAGATGTTGGAAAAATCTTGACTAATTTTAAACTTATGACAAATCGAAGTTGTGTAGCGTATGTTCGTTAAGTGTATTAGATCTGTCCAAAAACATTTCTACTTAAGTGATACATAGGTAAGCTATGATAGAAAAGAAGTAGTCGGTGACTTTTATATATAATGGAGGGTACATTTCTGAATGCAGTTAACAAATTCCTGTCTTAGATGACAACGATAGGTAGGTGATATATAGCGATGATATGGCCTTTAATGTAGTCTCTTTTGGAAGTCACTACCACATTCCAACTCTGCTTTCCACGAATTTGCTTGTTTGCGAGAAATCCTATAGAGGATCTGTGACACTTTCTCAGCTGCACATTTAATTAACAAAATATTTTTAGACTTTTGGAATTTAAATAACAATAATAATAATATTAATATTTAATGATACTAATATAATATCATAAAAAAATAATAATAATGGTGGTACAGCGCTTACGATATATAATATACCTATATATGACCCTTAATTTGAAGAAGAAAGCAGTTGATTCTAACTGAACTTGTGTTTTTACATTTTTAATTTCCTCATATCTGTGTAACAATTAAGTTGCGCGGGTTTCCATGAAGACCCGAGACTAATGACACACATAAGTAATATACACTGTATCCGCTGGAATTGAAATCAGTCGTGATTAGGCAATCAAAGCCTACGAAATTTAGTTCCATCAATCAAAGATATCTTATTTTTCTATATACCAATTTTTTTTCTAATGAAAATCTATGAAATTATCAAAAGTGAAATATGAAACAAGAAGCTGCACTCGTGGTTGGAAAGTTCGGAAATTTTACGTACTTCGCTACATAATATATATATATATATATATATATATATTGTTAGATCAAGATTGGAACTCATGTAGTTAAAATACCGCATACTTTCGTGTGTATTAATAGTCCTATAGTAGTAATAAGAACCTCGACATAAAAAAGTGTGGATTAAACAATAGTAATACGATTAATAAAGGAATATGAACATTCCATTTACTAGAATGTACCGAGGAGTAAGAAAAGTAAGCAATACAAATCTAAGAACGAACAACAAACGTCAATAATATTACAAGATAACGATCGACAATACGAAGGTTGAATTGATGAGAAAGGAGCAGCAAAGAAACAGACATAATCAACAACAAAAGAGACACAATATTGAAAGAAAATAAGTATGTAAGTGATCGAGCAAAGGTAAGCACACTGTAATAAGTATGACTCACCCAACCATTTTTTTATTCTCAGGAAAGGCAGTAAAATCATGACCTTTTAGAGAAATAAATATTATCATATTAACTTAGTGTTAATAAAAAAATCTGAGGAGAAACGAACTTACTACAAATAATCCCAAATAGTTAGTAACAATGAACGATTAAGGCATGTGGATTGTACTTAATAGACTATTATTGGCGGATATGTTGTAATCAACGAAGAGATTCATTACGCAAAGAGATATGATAATTTTTAACAGGAATAATGCAAAGAAGTAAGTGTACACAAATGATATAATATTTAAAGGTTTTAAAACTGAACTTTCTCGGAAACAAACGGATAAAACCGTAAGTATTTTTGACAAATATAGAGATCTAATTGCCAAATGTCTTTAATACACAGGTTATACCGATAGAACAGAGATGAATGTAACACTGATGTATTTGACATCCTTATACAATCAATCATATAAAGTATTACATCAAAAACTGCAACAATAGCAGCAAATAATGCAGCAACTTATGAAAGTCTACATCATCAAAAACAGTAATTAACTGTCTTTCTCGCATATTCGTGATAATACCGCAAATTCTTGGTAGCACTGAATTTAATTTCATAGAAATTTGGAACTATATTTATTCAAAATTCTGATTGTGATTTTTGTGTGACTTTTATGTGACATTTGTCGTCTAATCGATAAATCGCCGGAATTCACGAAATCGTATACTCCTCTTCGTAAACAAATTTTGAACTCATACTGTCGTATTCGTAAAGCTAAGCAGGCTGTCCGTATCCTTCTTTATTTTGACCGTCTACAAAATTTTCTTTTCTCTCCTCGGACTGTACTTCATGTTACTCGTATATTTACGACCTTTCCTCCTGTCATTCGTTTGAAACCGTGTGATCTATTTCAAAAGTAAAATTTCCCCATGATTTTTAATGGACAATCCGATAGATTCTAAAGTGCCGATAAAAAAAACTTTCTTCTTGATTAACCAATAATATTTGGATTTTAACTGGAGAATTACAAACACGTACTAAGACTGTTATATTAATAATTGAACAATTATTATCAATTATTATCATTAATAATTTTCATTTATACTAAATGTATACATTCTGAAACATGTACGTTTGATAGCACTAAATTTAATTAGATTAATTTGTACATTCATGCAAATTAAAAATTCCGATTGTGAGTTTTTATGTGACTTTTATCCGACGTTTGTTGTCTATTCAAGAAATCATGAGAATTCACGAAATCAAATAAACCTCTTCGTGACCAAATTTCGAATTCGAGCTGCCTGATTTGTAGGGAATCTCGTTATCCATGGTGTATTTCATATGCTATCATTTCTGTCAACGATTTATTCTAATTATCGTAGTAAATTTACTCGTTCTACGTCATACATTATATGACCAAAATCCATATATTTGCCAATAAATCCATACATATTGAGTTTTAAAAAATTGCGTTTCTATATTTCATATGCGGATCATTTATTAGATTTACGAAATGATGAGCTTATTCAAACGTACCAATAAATGTTGTAGTGTAATAGTTTGAAGTCAACAGTTTTAAATCTTTTTTAATTTTCATTATTTTATCCAAGCTAATCTCAAAGCTTACCAGGATTTCCAATTGATTCCGATACGCCGCTACTTGTCTTATATCTCCTTTCTTCTCCTTTTCATATCTAGTCGACCATTTTCCAGTCATGATTCGGAAGGAGGATAAATCCTGATAAAGTCGGCTTGTTATCATAAAAAATAGAAAAAACCAACTACTACTTACAACTATAACGTAAGGCACATTACGTAGCATAAGGGGTATAATCTGAAGCCATACTCTCAATGCTGCTACATTTTGAAACCTTATTTCTCACAGACAACGATATAAAAAACATCTTAGTATATTTTCCAAAATCAAAATGAGGAAACAATATTATTAATTGTTAATTATGTAAGGAAAGAATTTGCACTGATTTATTTTTACAATTTTTAAATCACTTATATGTATATATAACAATATTGTATATTTATTTTATTGAATCAAATTGCATATTATGGAAATGTCGATTTTTAAAAACACAAAAAAAATCTCTTCATGGAAGGAAATCACATGAGGTTTCAAAGCAGGCCTCGAGAGGATACCCACAAGGATCGATCCTCGGCCCTTCCTGCTGGAATTTCATGTTCGACCAGCTCCTTAGGATCCTGGAAAAATCCTCGGAAGTCAACGCGATCGCGTACACGGACGACCTACTCGTCATCGTAGATGGAGACTCCAGAAGACTCGAAGAGAAAGGAAATCGCATGGTTAACATCATCACCGGATGGTGCACGTCGGCGAAATTGACAATCTCCAAGGGTAAGACAGAAGCGATCGTCCTTAAGAGCAATTGGATAAAAAGGAAATCCATCGGCAGAAGGGGAGGACAACGTCCGGATAGAAAGCGAAAAACGGCGAAAAAGACCGACTAACGAGTAGGCCTCCCACCATAAAGATAGGGAATAATAATATTAAATTTAGGAATTCAGTTAGATACCTCGGAGTATATTTCGATAAAGGGCTGGGGGTTACGACACACTGCTGTTACCTCAACGACAAGGTCGGTCCATTGTTCGCAAAACTAGGTAGGTTAGCAGCTAGGGAATGGGGACTCCGCCACTGCGCCCTCCGAGCGATTTATCGAAGCATGTTCACCCCTACAATCACATACGTGGCAGCAGGATGATCTGATCTCTGTGTGGAAGGGGATCTGAAAAAGTTAAGCGCGACCCAGCGATCGGCCCTCATCTGCGTATCGCACAACTGCTACAGAATCACTCTCTGTCGTAGCAACGGAACCCCCGATAAATCTCCAGTTACTGAAACGAAGGAGACTATACGACATTAGGAAAAATAGGTGCACCGAGACAGCTACGTGAAAACTGAAAGGCACAAAGATTAAGCGCGCGATAGCAAGACAGGTCGATGAGGAAATCTCAAGGGTTTGGCAGTCTAGGTGGGAGAACTCCTCCAAAGGAAGGACAACATACGCGTTTTTCCTGGACATCAAGAACAGGATGGGTGCCCGTTTCGTCTCTCCTAATCATTTCACAAGTCAGTTTCTTATAGGACACGGAGCCTTTAAGGCCAAGCTGACGTCGCTGAACATCACCCCAGAAGAAGCATGCAAGTGTGACGAAGAGGACACGGTTTCGCATCACATCGTCGACTGTCCGATTTTCGAACCCCAGAGGGTGATTCTGGAAGAAATTCTCTGTGAAAAGAGTTAGCCGGAAGCAGCGAGACATCTTGTCTCCACGGCTGAGGCCTTCTCCTTCTTCGCGGAGTTTTGCAAAGAAACCCTCCTCATTAAGGGTTATTAGTTCATGAATCCTGTTCAGCTGGGATTGTCAGAGTCCTGGTGATGGGGGGAGGAGCCCGTAATCTTCTCGGGTTAACCCACTCCCGAACAGGATAGGGTTGGAGATGCTCGTACGCATCTTCCTTTTTTTTTCCACCACCAAACTCTCTCCCCTAAACCTGGTATCCTACCAGTCCCATCCCATCCTACAGAATGAGTGCCAAGGATCGTGGTATTGTGAGTGGCCCTCCTCGTGGTTCCCCGTAGGCACGGCTGTCATCAACGTGATGATCTTTTGCTGCGAGGATGTGGGTCGTGGCTAAACTACTCATTCTGCTCGCCGGCAGGAGTTTTGGGTTTTTCCGAATCCGATCTCTTTGTTGTGGTGGCTGCTGTCTGTAGATAGTTCCGTAGCGTATGCCCTAATGGGCGAGGTAGCATAGGTGCAGGCATCCTTCGGGTGTCCACCTTTACAATTTACAATGTATACCAAGTTGTTTTGATCTTCGCTTTCAGTACTATCGCATACATTTGTAGCATTTCCTGTCGTAGCCATACTATTTGGCTGAAAGGTTTGATATAAGTGGTTAGCAAATGTCTTGGCTTGTTCCATGTATGTCTTTGCTCAAGATTCGTCTGGTTTTCGTAATGCTGGAGTCTGCATTATTGGTCTTTTTAATTTTTTTGTTGCCTTCCAGAGTAAATTATTTGTATCTTTATTTGGCGTAAGGTTTAAGAGATATTTGCTAAACCCGGAATTACAGTATTCTTTTATCATTATTATAACCTCCCTTGTGAGTGCATTTAACTACCTTTTATTTTCTTCCGTTTTATGCCTTTCCCATTTGTATTTAGCTATTCTTTTTTGTTTAATTTTTTGCGAAACATAAGCTGGGTATGAACAGCTTATTTTATTTTCTTGTATATCAGGAGTAAATAACCATGTTGATTCTTGAATTATTCTTGTTATGTAGTACACAGCATTCTCGATGTGTTCCGATGTTTTTAGAGGGGTTTTGCAATTTAGTTTTTCATCAATAATTAATCTAAATTTATCCCAGGCCGTATTTCTATTGTATAATTTTGGTGTAGTTTCTATGTGGATTGGTTTTTGTAGAAATTCTATCAGTATAGATGCGTGATCAGATTTAATATTTTTTTTAATGATAATCGCAGAACCTCCATGTGCTTTTCCCGATGGGTGCTTGGTATCATATATACTGTAGTATGGTATATTTACATAATTTTTAACTGTAAGGTGAGTTTCTGAAATCGCCATAATATCAATGTTATGTGTGTAGTTGAAAATTTTGAGTTCTTGAAATCTTTGTTGTAATCCATTGCTGTTCCAAACAACTATTCTGATTGATCCATCCACTATTTGTAAGTATTCAAGAATTTTGTTAAGAAGTCTAACATGATGGTTATTTGATGTGTTTGTTGCTGTAACAGTGATGTTTCTGTTGAGATCATGTCTGTTATAAATTCTGTATTTTTAGCAGATTGAATTAAAAGTTGTTTAAGTTCTGTATATTTGATTCCAGGAGAATTTTTTGAGCAAGTAGGAGGTGCTATGTTTTGTTGTTGCGAGGTCTATTTGGCTATTACTTGTGCATAGGTTCTATTATTCTTGTAAAAGTGTTTAGTATAGTTTTGCGAAGTGTCTATTTTTGAATTGTATTCTGTGGTATAAAAAATATGGTTATTGTTAGTTTCAGATAGTACTCTTCGTCTTAATGGAGGAAATGTTTTGTGTTTAATTGTTTAACTACCAAACAGCCTTTATAACTTGCTGGATGATTACCTTGGCAATTAAAGCACCTTGCGTTTACTAGTTTATCCTGTTGTGGGCAAAATATAGTTAAGTGATTGTCTTGTCATTTAACACAAGCAGGTAACCTATTGCAATAATTCTTCATATGACCGTATATTTGGCAGCGATGGCATTGAGGTATGTCACGTTTCGGTCTTGGCGGTTCAAATATAATTAATATGTTGAATAGTTTTTCTATGCTGCATATTTCCTTGTTATTATTATTTGGTTCAAGTTCAATAGCAAATAGAGAGTATTTAATATCATATTTAACTATATTATTAATCGTCCTAATAACGTGTTTGTGGTGCTTGAATTCGTCAATGATTTTCTGTAAATTTTTTTTTGGATGAATTCCGCATAGAATTACCTTATAACTTCTTTCAGCTTTAAGTTGATAGGTGCGAAAATTTGCGTTTTTGCTTTTTAACGCGTTTATTATTTTCCTATAGTGATCCGAGGATGATAACTGGATTTTTATCTGATTATTTTTAAGTTGCTTTAAAGTAAAATTGTTGTTATCTGCTTGTTGCTGAAGTAAATCTAATAACGCTTCAATGACTTGAACCTGAATGTAAATAAGAGGAGGTTTATTTCCCTCATTTGTTTTGGTGTTACCTGTTGGTGTAGCATCGGTTCCAGAGAGGATACTATATGCGTTGTGTGTAGATATATCTTATGGCTACATTATGGATTGATGAAACGTGCGTAAATTTGTCATATCTACATTTGTATTAGATTTCCTCTTTTTGTTAGTAGATAGGGACTCAGTTCGATAGATTGAAGTGTTAGTGGACGTGTCGATATTCTCTACTTCGTTATTTGATGTGTTATCCGTATGGAGCAGGTGTCTCCCAATTTGGAAATTTTTAGCTTTATTGGTGGCATATATACGATATACTTTTACTGTCCGTACTTATCACCGTGACAAGATAATACAAGAGGTCGTTAATGTACATTATAAAACTGTAAACAATTCACGAGCGATAGGAAATACGTCTATACCGTATCAAGTTAGCAAGCAGACTATCCACTTAAGTAACTCTACTTTTTGTAATGTTGCCATTGGTATGAAAAAACTCACTTCCTTTTCGTTAGAATTTATCTCATAAATATATATAATCCTATTTTCGTTTTTAACTATCCAATATAGCATATGCGTTTTAACCTGATTTGAACTTATTTATAATACCGTACTTCGATGTTCTCAACATTTTTTTATTTTACCGGTATGAATTTGTTATGAAAGTTGGTATTATTAAATCTTGCTTTTGTAACTCAATTATTAAATTATTACTTACTAAGTATTTCCTGTGGAGCACGACCTACAGGTTATGTTTACAAAAACATTTTTACACTTTTTTTATTCGAAAAATGTATCAAACGTTCATATTACTCTTCAAATCATATGTGACGTTCTGTCGTCCAATCGAAAAATTATCGAAATTTACGAAATCAAATATGCTTTTCTATGATCGAGTTTTTAACTCGAGCAGCCGCATCCGTAGGAAAGCATGTTATCCATCGTGTTATCCGTTTGCTTGATTATTGTGACCTACTTCACAATTTCCTCCTCTCACTTTCGCTCCGTACTTTACGTTGCTCTTACATCAACCATCTCTCCCGTCTCATTCATTCATTTAAAACTCTGTAATTTGTTTCATAAGCAATATTTCCCCAAGTTAAGTATCCTGGACATTCCGTCGGATCATAAAGAACCAATAAAAAAAATTTCATCTATATTGGACAATAATGTACTGAGTCTTATTCGGAAATTACAAACACATGAATTAAATCTTTTATGTAATTGTAATAATTAAATAATGATTTTAATTGATAATTGTCAACGAGTTATCTATATATGACAACATTGACGATTCCCATTTTAGAAATGTTGTACCTGTAATGAATTATTATCTTATCAAAAATGATATATAAAATATTTGTTTATTGTTTTTAATAATAACCGTTTCCCAAAATAATATTATTACTTTTATTTCGATATCTATTAAATTTATATTTCCTAAAACATTCACTGATTTTACACGTTAATAGTATTCAATTTAATTAGATTGATAGATTGATTAGATTTTTACACCTGTCCATTAAAAATTTTTATTGTGAATTTTTCAAATCGTTTGATTGTATTTAAATTATAAATGTACAATTTTTGCTTTTTTCATAAAACAAATAATAATTACGTGATGGTTATATTACATACTATCTGAGAAATTATTAATGAATGTT